CTTATCTTTTATTAAGTTCTTTAGTTATCGTTTAATACGTTAAATTCTTATAGTCTAAGTATATTTATACTAAATATTTAGCTCCTTCTAGGTATACTCTTTATATTTTTAGATATTCTACTACTATAAGTAGTTCCTTATCGTAAATATCGTAGTTTACCTCGAGTCTACTTAACTTCCTTAAATAATATACTACTAGATAAAGCTTTCTTTATTCGTCTCTTTACTTAAGGTAGTCTCCTATTACTTTATCTAAGGCGTCTATTTCTATAATTACTTTCTTTTCTAGATCGAAATATATAAGATTAGTATAGACGTTATATATCGCTTTAGTTCTTTAAAGGTACTCTTATATTTTTCCCTAAAATTAAAGATTACTTTCTTCTTAGTTAAGTTAGTTACTAGTACTATAATTTTCGAGAAGTCCTTAATAAACTTTCGATAATAATTAATTAATTTATAGAACGCTTATACTTCCTTAACTATTATCGATTCTAGCTATTTATTAATAGCTCGAACCTTTTCTTAGTTCGGTACGAGTCCTTTTAATAATATAATATAGCTTAGGAATTTAATACTATTCTTATAGAATTCGTATTTAGATAGCTTAAATAGAATTTTATTTTCCTTTAACTTTTCTATTACTTTCTTTATATACTTTATATATTTCTTATATATCTTCGAGAAGATTAAAATATTATCGAGGTAAATAATAATAAATATATCTAAATATTCTCTTAGAGCGTTATTTATAAATTCTTAAAATATTAATATTATATTAGTAAGTTTAAAAGGTATAACTAGAAATTTATTAACTTTCTATCTTATTTAGAATATCGTTTTCTATTCTTCTTCGTTAGCTATTTTAATTAGGTAATAGGCGTTCCTAGTATTTAACGCGATAAACTATACGATATCTAGAAGGTAATTCTATAGTTTATTCTATTAGAAAATAGAATAATAGTTCTTAATAGTTTTATTATTAAGCGATCTATAGTTAATATATAGTCGTAGTAATCTATTCTTCTTTATTACGAAGAATATACTATAGAATATAGATTCGTATTTTTCTACCTTTAGTTAGCTTCTTTTTACTAAGTCTTTTACTTTTAGTTTCTCGATATAGTTCTTTAGAAAGTCTTCTTTTTTCTTTAAGAGTAACTTTAACTATTCCTTATAGTTAAGTACTTCTCCTTTTTTTATAGATATTCTATAATCTTAAGGCTAATATTTTAGAAGCGCTACCTTATCTTCCTTTTCTATAAATAATTCTTTATATTTTATATATTTCGGAAGTAGCTCTTTAATATTAATTTAAACTAATATTCTACTTCTTAGTCGTATTTATATCGCCTTTATAAAGAAAACCTTTAAAAATAATTAGTTTTTTATTTTCGTTTCGTAACTATAATTCGAAAATTCGAGTTTTCTTATTTTCTAGTTTATTTAGGAATTATATTTTTCTAGCTACTCTATTCTTAGTATAGCGTTATATTTTATCGCTATTATATCTAGAGTTATTCTTTTCTAATAGATTTCTATTAATAATTTAACTTATTATAGTTCTTTTCTTATTTATTTATTCTTAAACTTCGTTAGCGACTCGTCTACTATTATAAGTCGATATAGTTTTATCTTCGCCTTTATATACTCTTTTAATCTTTACGCTACGTAGTATAAGATATAATTTTCGTTTACTTCGAAGTCTATTATAAGTCGTATAGGAAGGTTCTATAGAACGACCGCGAGGACTATATATTCTACTTTACTTTCGTTTAATTTATATAGAGTTTAAGGCTATTATCGTAGGTAACCTAGCCTTAATAGGTTATTCCTTTATCGTTTTTTAAATATACGTATAGTCTTAGTTTTACTATATAAGTACGTTCGTTATACTCGTTTATAGATCGATACGCTATTTTACTAATCGAAATTCGAAGTCGATTCGAACTTATATTCTATAGGTATTAGTATAGCCTAAAGTACTATTAGTAGCTTCTTTCCGTATAGCTAAAATAATCGAATAGGTATATCGAGTCTACTCGTCTATCGATGTAAAGTATATCCTTTCTCTTATCTTTCTATATTATATATAAGTTTCGTATCGTCGAAGCTTCTATTTTCTAGATTTCCTTTACGTTTTCCTAGTCGAGGTTAACTATAATTCGTTCGTAGATTAATTCTTATACGTAAGCGTATATTATTAGCGCTTAATTATATCTATAATCCTAGTAGAATAATATATTAATTTTATTCTATTACTTTTATAGTTTTATTCTAAGATTATAATAGATATAAAGATATCTTTCGGTCTTACTATTATATTCTATATATTCGCTATATTTCTAGTACTTTATTATAATCTTAATTTAGTTCCTTATAACCTTAGCTATATAATATTTTTCTTCTTCTTCTAACGATATTTTAGAATCTTTATCTAATTCTTTAGCGTTTACTTCTTTCTATTCCTCTTCTCTATTATCTAGGTATACTAATCGTACTTATACTTCTCCGATAGTTTATACTAGTAGGTTATATCGTATTACTTTACCCTCTACTATATCGTATAAATAGTAGAAAGCTACCGCTAGATATTCTAGGTTATAGTATTCTTTTAGGCTAACTAGCCTTCGAGTTAATTATCTTAGTCCGCTAGAGTAGAATATTAATTTCTTAATATCGTCTTCTATACTTACCTAGTAGTAGTTAGTAATAAATACTATAAGATAATACTTCGATACTATTACCTTATTCTTTTCCTCTACTAGTACTACGTTATCGAGATAGGTATATACTATTCTCTATAGTCTTATCTTCTTATATTTATTTAACTACTATCGTAATTCTTCTAATTAGTTATCGTTTTCTTCTTCTCTAAATAGAAAAGGGAATACGTAGCCTATATAGTCGTACGTATAGCTATTTTCTTTATCTTCGTATTTATTAAGACTAAGCGATACCCTATTAACGCCTAGTTACGTAATTAGGCTTATATAAGCTAGGAT